CGTGTGCTCCTTGCTTGAGCGCGAGCCAGGACCTTCCTGAAGTTAATGATTCGGTCATTGCGATGGGTGGCAGTGGCGGTGGAGAGTGGTGGAAACGAAGTAGTGTGGGCCCGGCGTGTAGAGTAGGAGAAGAGTGCGCCAGGAGGGCGAGAGCAGGAGAGAAGGAGGATCGGACTGTAAAGGAAAGTAAGCCCGATCCCAGTTCGAACGCTTCGGTTCGATCTTACGGGTTTAGTCTTGAACGGCAGATTGTTACTGATTGTGGCTGATCAGGAGGATTCGAAATAGATATCCGAGGGCTAAATATCATCGTATACATACACACCGTATCTGTTATCAGGGGGTGAACAAACGTCTTTACGTCTTCTTTGAAAAGTAGACATCGCACCGTACGGGGACCAAACTCTTATCGTTTTCCCGGTCTTCCGAGGAGTGATTCTTGACGTTTGTCCGAAGAAAGAAATCCGCGAGATAAGATTCTCGGACCAAGTAGATTATCCTCCTGGAAGGCCACCGGCGATTCGATGCCGCACGCCGGCAGTCCGTCAGATATAGCTGCGAAGAGAAGGCGGAGGCAACAACTACCAGCCACCCTTAAAAGTACGTATGAGGAAGTGGGGTTGTAAAATGAAGATGCAACGCATATTAATAGCAATATTTATCATTCAATGAAGGAAATGTCAATCGCTCTGCAAACTTTATTAATTTTATCTGCAACAATAAATTTTTATGTATTAATTTGAGATTTTTAATTCGATGTTGCTATAATTTAGTTTAAGAAAGCTAATTTCTAAAACTGAAAGTTTTAATATTATATTTACTGTTTTTTTTAATCTATCTGAATTTATTTCTCTTTATCTGCAATGTTGTATGAACATACATGTATATATATTGTAAGCATATACCTTTCAAATTATAAGTAATTAAGGAAACCCAATAAAAACCGCACAAAAATTTTCACGTTCAAAATGAAGAAAAAATTTTAGAAATAAGGCTCCATGACATGAGACATATAAGACATTTCGCGTATTCGCAAAAAGCTAAAGTGGATTGACAAGAACCACTTACGGACACTGGTCTTGTCGAAGTACCGTTTTAACTCAAAGATTCTCGGTAGTATACCTTTAAAGAGTATTCCATTTATTACAAAAAATTGAAGGTTAACGATTGAAAAGTAAGATTGCGGATTAAACTTGTCATTAAACGTTTTTCACAGAGACAAAACCATCAATTTAATTTTATTAAAAAATCTATTTAATATATCGTGTAGTAATAAATTCAAAATGTATATTCCAATAATAATAATAATATTTTTGAACTATAAAAGTTAAACATTTATTACATTTTTACGAAAATTTTAAATTTATCGTATTTTATTAAAAAGCAATATAATTTATAAAAAGTTGTTTATAAGTATTATTTATTTATGTATGTAAAAAATATGTATTTTTTAATATGTTTTTATATATATAAATAAAAAAGGTAAGATCATTAATTAAATATAATAATTTCTTCCAAATAAGTTAATAACAATAATTTTTTATATAACATTTTAAAATAATTTAAACATGAGACAAAAAAAGAGGAAATGAGAATATCATATGATTAACCTCATTAATAATTCATTTACTATGCTAATTGATAATATTTGCAAAGTGATTAATATTATAATATAAGACTATATTTTTTTCCTTCCTTCGAAAATCGGATAATATATTACGAAATACACTTTTTTGAAAAATATATTGAGATAAGAATAATGAACAAAGAGAGAATGTTAAGAAAAATTACAGTAAGATTAAACAGTGAAATAAATCTGGATTTTATATAAGGAATAAATAGAACAATTACCTTTGAAACAACTTTGCTTTAATTTACAATTTTAGCACTTGTAAATAATATTAGAAACATTTTTTTCTTGTAAAATAAAATTAACAGTTTAACAGAAATTAATTATGATAAGCGAGACTACATTCAATCTGTGTAGCATAAGCTTTGGAGCGTCAAGAGATCTGCGTTAATTAACGGGCCAGGTTCAGGCCATTAAATGTGCGAATTGACAACAGGCAAAAAATTAAGAGGTCATTATGTTTCCGTGACGTTCAATTGTCGCTGGTAATAGGCGACCCTTTCTCTGCCAGTCTCTCAAGAGGACGAGCACGTCCTTCTTGTTGAGGACAAGCATTGAAGTCACCGACAGGCGCGGTTCTCTTTGACAACCTATGTCGTAACACGACGAGTCATCGTGTATTAATATTACGACTGATATTAACTATAGATAAACTTGAAGAAAAGACGCGAAAAAATAAGATATGTTAATAATAATAATAATTATAAATTATACAATAATTGCAAAAATCTTAAATTTCTTTATAATTTTTGTGTTGTAAACATTACATTAATAATAATTAGATAATTAATTCTATTTTTAAGATTAATTTAAATAACAAGGCAGTTTAATATTACTAAAGGATATTGTCACTTCTATTCACGGAGCTTTTGTACATCTTTTTGATAGTATTTGATCACGCAAGAGCTAACTCATCGCCTTTATTCCTTTTCCTCGTCCTCGCTTATCTGTACGATCGCTCGCTTACAAGTATGATCGATCGTGATCGTCACCGATGCACTCATCGTTCTCTTTATCTTCGCGATCTCCGCCGTATCATTCCGGTTTCCGCATTTACGTGAACGACGAAAAAGCGGACGTGATCGCCTTCTTGTCTCGACAAGCCCCAATCGGAATTCCGAGGAGGCGCGTGGGATTGGTAGCGCAGGTAGCGTATGTGTTACGATCGCGATCGCGATCGCGATCGCGATCGAGCGAACAAACGAGCGTGCGACCGCATGAATCGTATTTTTGCTAAAATGGAGAAACAATCTCTCCGGAGGAGCGGGCGGTCGCGGTCGGCATGTTCGCCTGATGCGCCGCGAGTAAAAAAGGACGAATTCCTAAGACGAACTAAATTGCGCTCGGAGCTATCCCAGCGGGTAGCATACTAACGGCATACATACGTATCGCGCTTCCTTGGAATTACCGTCGTGGGAGGTAATGCCGATAGCGAGGAGTGATGCAGAGATGCACGGGAGAGAGCGCGAAGCGCCGTTAAGTATCCAATTCTTGTTGAAATTTTGCTTGTTTCTACGACATAAAAGAGTTACATGTCAAAATACATGTATAAATGTATGCGTTATTATTGCATAACGAATTTTTGAGGACCTCTCTCTCTCGTACTTTTATCTTACCTTTTATCTTACTTAATGCTCACTCAGATGAACCACTCGGAACGATTCGATCAATATCACCATATTCGTATCGATTACATTCATACATATCATACGTATCACATTCATATCGATTCCTAAAGCTACACACGTTTGTGTGTATTAAAAATAAGGAAAAGAGTATACTCATAAAATTTCGCCCGATAGGATATAGAAGAGTTAATAAACCGATGTCTGCGCAGAATGGTGGCCGTGGTGGTTGCTCCTACCAGGATGTTTGGCATCGTGGACGCGATATGTCGAGGAATACGACTCTATTAGAGTGGCCAGATGCGACGCTCGATGCGGGGAGAATCACCCTGACGAGGTATGTAGGATGAGAACACGTTACACAATCGAAATTATCTTAATCATATCTCGTTATTGATCTGTAACATTATTATCAACGATACACTATCATTTTATATACATAACATTATTATGTAATCTTACATAATGTATAATTTCTTTTATATTATATTATATTATATTATATTACTTTTATATTATATTATTACAAATTTCAACATAAAATTAGTTAACGCATAAAATTTTTTTAAACGTTTTAAAACACGCAGTAAAAACATTATTTAATAAAAATTTAAAGAATGTTATAAAATTTTAATAGTTGAATCTGAATGGAATAATGACAGGGTAGAAAATTAGCATCGCACATACAATTCATTATTCCCAACAAGCTCGATCGATTGTTGGTGCTTATGGCATCGACCTGGCGCGTCGCAATCAGGCGGAATAATCGCTTCGATTAATCAACGCGCTACATTGTACGCTGCTGTCCGAGTGGAGATCGATTTTAATTTCGATGGCCGATTCGACACTCGATAGCGTCGCTAAATAAACTGGTTCCCGCAACGCTTTGTCGCCTCTTGAGAGTCGCAGACCATCGATGATTCATCCAGGACTCGTCCAGGTTTTGCGAGTTCTCGCTCGCGTGTAATTAGTTATGCGAATTCGAGCGTCCCTGAGTCTGCGCCCACTTGAATCATCGTCACGCTCGACGATTTATGAGGCACGACGTGCCACCGGCCGTGGGACTAGACTCGCATGATGCTAATTCGGTAGTCGACAACGGCGGATCGATAACACTGTATTTAGGTCATCCGCTCGAAGAAACCTGTCGTAGCCTAAAATGTACGTTTCTCGTCTCTCAAGTGAAAAATATATTATTTCATCAGTTATTTCACGAACAGTTATTGTGCCTTTCTTCTCAAATGTGCACGCGTTAGGAGTTTCTGGAGAAAAATATTAAAATTATTTTCCTAGATAGCAATTTACAAAGGTTTGCCCCAATATCGGATGCTGATATTTTATATTGGCAGGCTAATGTTTGCCAATATTGATTTAATATTGGAATAATATTGGGATGATAAGTCTGGCGCAGTATTGTCGATCGTCAATATTGTATTTATATTAAAATTATATTGTTTTAATACTACTTGTCGATGTCAGCCCAATATCAATTAACAACATAAGATCACTGACTTTTAGTAGAAATATTGTACGCTATTGTACTATGTAAGACTCTTATTATGGTTACTACAATATATTTATATCAGATAATAACAGAACTAAGAAATCTGTAATCTATACATAATTTTTTTTACAGCATATATTAAAATAAAATAATTTTTTAAAAGAGGAATTTTCAGATTTTATATTTTATCAATTTTGAATTTGTTTAAACAACATAGTACAAGAAAAAGATTAATATAATTTCGCCTTTTTAAAATTAAATGATAAATCGAGTATTTTAATAAAGAAGTAAAATAATAATTAAATAAATAAATACGTTAAGTATGTATTCATGAAACATAAAATATTTATTTTAATTAACAATGATATTATTACTAATATTTTATGATCGGAACAATTTTAAAATAAAATTAGTATTGGTAATATACGGTATCATTTTACTGTATTATCCAAAAAGAAATGTCATTGTTCAATATCAAACAATTATTGTAAAATAACTGCTAAATATATATATATATATATATATATATATATATATATATATATATATATATATATATATCGAACTTGAAAAACAGAATTGTCATTTGCATCAGTACCATTCATTGAGTTTGATTGCTATGAGCAGATCAAATACGAACATCGGTTCATATTTCTGATGTTGGCCTATCTGGATATATTCATAGTGTTTTGATTGTCAACTGGGCGATACGGATTTAAATTGTATTTTTCCGTTCGTAACAACATCTTGCGAATCTGAAACTATCAGGCGCGTATTACAAATGAAAATATGTTCATACGCAACGAGAGAGTTAAACATTTTAATTGGCGTTGGTCGAACGATAACGTGAATACAAGCAACGACATTAGCATTGACTTACCAGCAATTTCGCCGCGGCACTTTATTGCTGATTTTTTTTCACCGGTGTGTATACACACGTTATTACGGCAAACGATCCCGAAATAATTCCGGAGAGTCGTTGATGGGGTGGAGGCGGTTGAGAGGGCGGGTTGAGATGGTGGACGAAGGAATGACGAAGAGATAGCCCCCGAGCTCTGACTGGCGGCCAGCAATAAAGTTCCGAAGTAATGGCCTATAAAAGAGTTGTACCGTGCGCAACTCACTAAGTCCGGATGCGTACCTATGGCGCGCACTAGAAACGTATCTTCCAACATTATCGAAAACAGGTTCTTATCCCGAAGCACCGACGATCAATCTTCCCGATGGCACTCGACTGCATCGTGCGCTCTCGCGCAGCGCGTCGCCCTTCGGGAACTTCGCGAGTGCAACGAAACTTCCCGTTTCCGCCTTCAATCCTTGAAGAATCGGCGATCCTTGGCGGCGAAATTAATTCTTTCGTGTTTCTTATGCTGCATCTAACAATTATGCTGGTGGTAACAAACGTTGAATAAAGTCAGCTGATAATCTGTCAATATATGTATGTATTACAAAAATTAAAAACTTCCTTTATCTTTGTGTTAAACTCGTTTTAATTAGAATCCATTTTATGTTAACATAATTATTAATTGGCAGAATCAATGAGCCATTTTGATAATTTTAATTTGTCTAGTTCACGAATGCAAAGCGTATTATTTAGAATATCAATTAGATTGCAAAGTTAAATTTTATCGATTTTTAGTTATTTTCAGAATAAAAATTGAATTATTTTGTTTTTTATTCTTTATTCAGCTTCTGAGAGATTAATATCTTAAATTTAATTTACATATAATTCTTAATTTATTTTTGTTAATTTTTTTAAATCTTGTTAATTATTATTAATCTTGTTTTTATGAAAATTCATTTCTTATTTAACATGTTACTTTTAATTAACGTATGAAACTCAAAGCATTCACAAAGCGTCATTATGTCGGCCGAGATATTTCGCGTATGTTCCACCGGAATTTATGGTATTTTTCTTTCCTCATCTGTTACGTAAACTTCCGGTTTTTTAAATGATGTTCACTGTTATTATAATTAACTGACGCAATCGCGGCTGTCAAACTCCGCTAAAAATATTTCCTTGACAAACGTGAATTCCATGATTTCAGCGTTGCTTTATTGTTGAATGTTGATTATTAATTATTTAATAATAAAAATATATGAGAATATACAAAAAAAAACAATTTGCAATTATCATATCATTTTACAAATAAAACATCGTTGATATAGTCATTAAAGCAAAGTAATTTTGCATATTATAAAACTGTAGAAGAAATCGGAAATTAAAAATATAATTTTCTACTATTATTACAATTAATTTCCTTAGAAAAAAATTTATTGAAAAATTCAATTTTGGAAATAATGTTTAATGAGCAGACATTTTTCACTATCAAAGCGGCGGCATCTTTTAATGCATTAATTAAAGAAAAAAAAAAAGATAAACCACCGTTCTTATGACAATCGACTTCGTTAGCGTGACCATTATATTGCCAGGAATTCTAGCGGAAACTCATCCGTTCGTCGATCAAATGCGAATTCCATGCGCGGCGCTCTTTCGATTGTTAATTATCGGTGTCGTTGCGGGGGAAAAAGATAAGTGAGAAGAAACGAAGTACAAAAGAAAGAAGAAGACGAAGCGACAAGAAAACGATGCTGGTGAATCGCCAATGGGCAATATAATTTTCTTAACGACGGCGATCGGCGGTCAGCCACTTCTCGCGATGAACTTCGATGGAAGACCGCCTCGACTATACCGATCTTAATGAATACTTCAAACTGCGATCCTCGCGAAGTCTTTAATTGGGATAGTCTACCGATGCGAGGAAGATTGAGAGTAAGAGAGACGAAAAGAAAGCGGATCCGCGGGGGAGGCGGAGAAAGATGGAGCAAGGATCGGCGTGCATGATTTTTCAGTATTGCCGATCGACACTATCGCCGATCTTTGCGGCGGACTACATTAGTCTCCTGCCATACCCTAATCTTCGCGATCAGTTCACGATGGCCGCGCGCTCCAATCTTCACGAAGAAGCTTTCGACTGGAACAGATCGGTCTCTGCGCGCCTTCGGCACGTCGACAAAGAGGACGATGCTTCTTTGCCAGTACAGAGTGGGACAGAAGAGTGAGATGTGGTGAACTTCATTAGCCTTCTTGTACATCTTTGATCCGCGTGATCGCTTCGGATATCATTCGACGATCTCGATGCGCATTGGCGAAGTTAATTCTTCGACCGTGACGACGCTTCATCAGATCTCGTACTTCGGCTCATCTTTTTACGCCCCGAGGACGATTATCACTTGCAATGCGAGTATCACGAAACTGATGATCCTCTATTTATTTTTTTTATGATGCGTGTAAAAAAAAATATATGTTACAAAAATCAGAATAGAATAGCTTAATTTCTTCGGGGAACTTAATTTATTTTTAAAATCTAATTTCTTTATAAAACATTTTAATGTTATAAACAGTTTATATTCTCACAATTCTGTATTATACTATAGGAGAAAGGGAATACATCTTTATACTTATTATTTTACTAATAATTTCAAAACATTAGCAATAAATTAAGATATAAAAATATAATAAAATTCTATTGTATGGTATAATTTTGATAATATGTAATAATAATTTAATAAATAATAATAATTTAAATAGAAAATAAGAATAAATTTTAATAATACTACACACTATAGTGATTCTGTAATATTCTTGTTTAACTCGTAACAAATCTCCAACCAATCGACAATGGAACGCGGAAGCTAAGCTACTGATCAGTTCTGTATTTTTATGAAAAAGTCGAGAGAGAGATTAAAGAGGTTTTACCTTGTGTAAGAAATTATTTAAAATATTATCTGTAACTAAAAAAATAGTTCCCTTCTCTCTTTCTTGAAATGAGATAAATAATCTGTTAAGATAATTTGATATACAGATGATAAGTATGCTATATCTAATATATGTGAAATACATCTATATATCTATATATCTATATATATAGATGGTCCTATTCTCTCGAATAATATATCTATATGTATATATCTATATATCTATATCTATATGTATATACGTATGAAGAAAAATAAATGCTATATTAGTTTTTATAGAGATTTCTAGAGCAGGAAACTTTTCTTTACCTGCAAAGACATTTTCTGTTTTAATTAATAATTTTTTCTTTTATATGAACTATTAAATAAAAAATCATATATCGCTTTAATTGTTTCTAACCATATACTTCCGTTCTACGAAACAATCAGTGCGATCGTCGGAAGCTGATTCGGATATTGCCCGAGGAGTCCCCGAGAGTTCTCTGAGAAAGGGAGCAAGTATAATAAAGGGGTAACGCGATATGTATGATTTTGCTAACAATACTGATCGCGGCGCTACCGGCGATGCGACCCTCGCATTGTGAACTTTATTAGCTGGTCAACGGCCTCAGGCGATCACGCCGTCGGCGTCGACGACGCCGTTCGGTGCAGAGTGCTGCGGGTTTGATTTGCTCGACGTGTTCGCTTCCCTCTAAAGTAAAAAGTAGGCCAATAAGTAAACGAACCAGTTTCCTCGACCGTTCGAATGACATATGTCGCAGTCGTAACAGTGCGATAACGAATAACCGTTCCCAAGAATGTTCTTGAGTTTCCTCCGGGAAGAGTCCGTGATTTGTCACTTTGCAAATCTTATCAGAACCTGCCGCAAAGACCAGCCGTAGCTATGTATTGGACTTATGTATTATCGTCGATCTCATGACTTTTGGATTTAATATGATCAACAGCTAAACCTTGTGAAACTTTCTAACGACAATCATATCAAAGAAATTTCCAAAGGAAAGCTTGTATTTTTTTCATCCTTTGTTTCTTTACGTTTTCATTGTTTTTTTATTTTGTCAATTAATTGTACTCTACAAACAGTTTTTGTTCAAAACTGTCGATAAAAATACATTGATTAGTTGTCATATTTATATGCCGCAAAATTCAATAGATGCATTACGACGTAAGCTGCAACCTCGTCAAGTCCGTTTGTTTGCTGTGAGAATAACCGTTCCCTTCAAGTGATTCTTTATGGCTTATACAATAACATACACGTGTCACTAGACGATATAGCAGACTATAAACCAACCAACATCCGGCATAGATTTACGAAGAAAACGTACTGTGTTACGATCATAAACAACAACTCGCGATTCTTTTTTTTTTTTCGATGTATACGTAACATTGTATTCTGATGAAGTTATTGATGGAGCTATCACGATCTCGAAATTTGATACGATGTATTTATTTTAATGACTTAACTTTGGAAATTTGCCGTCAGTCGCTATTAAGTTTAACGACTCGCACTTTGCAAACACCATGTTATGCTTGTAATCATACGTCTTACAACGTCGTCGATGTTTATCTTAAATGTTGCATTTTTTGGTCGACTTGGTCGGACCGGCTTTCTCGCGTCTACATTGTACGAAAATGATGACGGCATAAAAAACACCGCAACGCGCGCGAATTGGAACGCGCATTAGGTTGAAATATATATGAAAGGGCATTTTCGTCCTGGACGATCAGGAATACGCCCCGGGGCTCGTTTAAAGAAATCCGAACTCGCATCTGAACGGAATCGAGGAGCGGCAGTTTCGTAACTACGTAGCAAGGGATTGGCTTCCACGAAAATGGCAGAGAAGCTCTCAATCGCGGCCGAACTCGACATCGGCGGCGATTTGTTATATCTTTATTTTTTTTTTTTCTTTTTATACGGCGATTGGCCGTATCTTTTTCGGAACTGACAGGATTGGATCAGATCGCGGATGGAGAGCAGATCGAAAGCACTTCGATTAAGATGGAATGCAATGAAGCTGACCTTGATAAACTTGCTTCACTGAAAGAATGGTGAAGAAATAATTTTGTATGAATCATTAGATACAACGTGATATAAATTAATAAAAATAATTATATAACATTTTACTTTAAATTCAAAGAATAATAATGTCAAAGAAACATTTTCTACTAGATCTGCTAAAGATTATCAGTAATTATTTAAGTTAATATATTTAAATAATATTATTTTTATTTTCCAAATATTTTAATATTGAAATTACAACGTTAATATTTCACTGACCGCATAAGATTTTATAACAGTAATGATTATAAACATTTGTTTAATCAAATTTCATTAACAAATTAAAAAATAGCAATTCTTTTTGCATTCTGCTTGCATCGTGCTGTTGATTTTACATTGTGTATCAAATTATATTTTTAATATTAAAAATAACAGTACAATGCAGTACAAAATTTAGATCTCTTAGCTATATATATCAAAACAAATGCTAAGATTAAATAAGAAAATAAATAAATAGATAAATCGATAAATTTTTATAAAATTATAATAATTTGTGAATGCTTATATACTTTGATATATAAAAAATATTAAAAATAAGTTGCACCAAAAAGAAGAAATCTTTTCTCACCACATATTTATTGTCAAACCGTAGTGTGTAGAAAATTGTCTGGCATCGAATTACACAAAACCTGGTTATTGTCCCGAGAGAATGTCCATGACGCCTTTCGAAGCTGCTTGCTTGGTTGCCTGCGTCGACGACTCGCGCTGTCCGGATTTGGCAAAGTGTTGCTCCCACGATTGCGGCATCACGTGCATGCATCCCATCGGTTTGGATAGTCAAAACGGTGAGTGAATAATTATTATGTAAATCATGTGTTCTCATTTATAATGATATTTATGCAGATTAACAATTTTGTAAAATGCTGAAAGAGTCATAAAAATGAAGGACTTTTCAGAAATTAAGTTTCAGAAATACATCCGATAATAAGACCTTGCGTTTAATTTCAAGGAAATTCTATTTTATTCTATATCTCGATTCTATTTTAGCTTGTAACTTAAGATTGAATGATAATAAGATATTTAACATAAAAAAAATGTGTGAAAACGACAAATCGACGAATCTGTGACTTATATTGATGTTTTTGCTAGATAAATATCAATTGTAAATTGATTTAGAAATTTGTCAATAAAACATAGTTTGCTGATTTTATGCTAAGATTATAAAATGATGCTTTTCAATTTAAATTAGATCTGCCGGCTGTGCCCGAGAATCTGCAGATACAACAGCAAAAGAGGAACTTGGTACTTCTAACGTGGCGCAACGGCAGGCCAGGCATCGGTAATATGTCCGCTATCGACAACGATGGGGATGTCCGGTATTTGGTGGAGGAACGTCATTTGGTCGGTCCCAGATATTTGGAATCCAGGCTGAGTTCCTGGGCTGTATGTCACGTGTCGACGAAACCGCACGCGACCCTCCGAGGTAAACTGAAAACAGGACATTGGTATCAGTTTCGTGTGGCGGCTGTCAATGAAAATGGATCGCGCGGATATTCACAACCCTCGAGACCTTTTAAAACGAAAGGTGAGTCTATCTAAACGAGATAAAAGGAAATCCCCTGCGGGAGTTTATTCGCGATTAATTACTATTTTAATCACATCATTCAAATTAAAGCAGAAACGAATTTTGTTTATATAAAATAATATATGATTTAATCAACGTAATGCTATATATAGCAAAGAATGTAATGCATATGTGGAAATTTAGTGGCAAGAATGAAAACAGTGTGAGATTACAACTTGCAAATGTAATAAGTTCTACATTCTTATTTTATGGTTATTATTATCGAGTTTTATTAATGGCCCAATGTCAGCCTTCGGGACCGTTTAAGCCCGTCATTCCTGCATTCTAAATTGACACAGGAAAACAACAATTTAAGGAAGGCTAGAGCTATTATGGCTGATTGTCCGAACTTGTGGAACAACTCGTCTCACGCGAGGTCGACATGCGTAATATACCGCTGAAGAAAATTTACCTGAGTATATTTATGTTTGAGGACTGTTTGTTTGTTGACTTGAAATTCGGGCCATTAACCCGCAGTGAAAAGTTTCAGAATCATGTTAATCGGTTGTGCAAATCGTCATGGTAAGTATTGCTTAATGTTGATCTTTCGCACGCAAATTAAGCTTTACAAAGTGAAGGTCAATGGATAACGCAAGAACAAACATGCCATCGAAAGGTCGCAGATATGTATGACGCGATTCGACAAAAGAAAAAGTACTCGTGATAATAAGTATAGATATTAGCTTAATTATTAATAAACGGTACTAATAAATCCTAGTGTCAATTATTATCTTAAGCGGATCTGAAATTGATCGTTAATATGTCTTCACATAAACTTTCCGCCTCCATCACGATAATGCCAAACAGGTTTCACAAAAAAGAACCGATAATTAGTATAATGAACGGGTCACGCATCAACAGATCATGCAAAACCGGATTAAGCATTCCAGTCATCCCTAAACACATAAAGAATCAGCTAGAAATCCCATCTGTGCGATTATTATTCCAAATCAGAATCGAAAGGATTTATTTTATTTATCAATATTTATCAATATTTTTGTACACATTATTAAAAAACATTTTGTATTCGTATGTAAATAAAATAATTTTTAAAATATTTTTTTATTAAATATTTTACGATTCACATTGAATTTATTTATCAAATGTGTATTACATGTATTATTAGAAAAAAACTTAAGTGAAAAAGAAATTTTACGTTATTAAAAATCCATTAATGCTATAAATATCAAGCGGCCATTTTTGATCACTTCTATTTTTTGAAATAAAACTTTTTTTCTATTAAAGATACAATTTGCAAGTTTTTATAATTTTTCGTCAATTATTCTTTTTATTATAATATTAAAATCCAAAAGATATTTATGTCATCTTTGATACTGTAAAAAAATATCAATTTAAAAAAATAGAAGTCATGAAAATGGTCGCTTGATACTTTTAATGTTGTAAGTGTTAATTTTTTAAACAACTTTTGTGTATTATGTATAGAAAAATATGTTTCTTAATAAAAATTGCAATGTCGCAATTTATTGCAACAAGGAATTACCTTCTTTATTATGTTCTCTCTGGAGAATATATTCATAAAGCATATAATCATATGTTGTAATTAGCATTATACTGCGAAAAAGCAATGAACTCAATGGTATCTTCTTGATCGATTGCAGAACCACGGAATCCGAAGGAACCACAGAACTTGACTTTGTCTAACGCACGGCTCATCGGTGAAAAGCTGCGTATTAATTTACGATGGGTTAAACCGGCGTCAGATGTGCCGATATCGTTTTACAAAGTATTCTGGAGCAGATTTATTCATGGACCAACAAACGATTCCATTCTCGTCTATCATAAAACAATTCTTAAAGTAAGTTCTCTTTATCTTTAACAAGACACTTTGAAATATTTCTTTTAATCATTGAGCTTAATGTACAATAAAATGTGAAAAGAATTAGAATAACCCTTTCGTTAAATAATTAAATGTAAACAAAAGTTTAAAAGTATTATTCCGATACATGCAATTTTTATTAAAGCATCCGAAATAAAAGAGATTTAAATTGTGTTTTACATTATTACATTATTAAATATATGATATATCCTAATTTTGAATATTTGAGCTCTTGCTGACAATTTTTTTAAGTGGATACTTTTACGTAATTGCGATTTTTATGTTTTTCAGGACAAGACTTGCTATGAGCTAAAGAATCTGGAATTTAAGTGCCAGTACTTCCTTCAGGTGCAAGCGGTGGCGATGTACGGCGGTCGACGTCTTACTTCGCGCAAGGCGTCGAAGGTCTTCAACAGCACCGATTATATGGCGTACGGTAAGATATCATACTCGATCCTCGATAGCAATAGCTCGTCAGTCCTTCCCTCAATCTCCCTTCTAAGTCCAGTGTAGTCGGGATAACCAACGAAAGCAGTGACCTTTCATTGAAGCCGACGTCGGGAGACGTTCCCGCAGGTGCGAGCGAACGCAGGCTGGTCTTCATGTGCGTCACATGAATTGCCACTGTGGAGAAGTCAGAGCGCGTTTAGTTTGGTCGGCGAGCAGCGATGCTAGCATGTATAATGTCACCTGGCAAGAGGAATCCTGTTCGCGTGAAAGAAATCCAGAACGACAGAAATTTGCTGCTTGGAAAGTAGTACAGGTATGTTTGATTTGAGAGTCTTTTGCCGCATCTTCTCGCGAGGAATATTATACTGTAGCAGATTCTTAAAAATGTAGCTTAAAAAAAGCGTATAGAATATACCTTG